TTTACAGAAGCATGAGTTTTTTAAGGTCTGAAGTCCAGAACACCAGCTTTACTTTCCTCCTCCTCCACTCTAATTCCCATTGACCCTACAGCCCAGGGATGTCTGTGTTTCACAGAATGACAGAATGGGTCAGGTTTGAAGGGACTACTTGTCCCTCTGGTTCATCTGGTCCAACTCAGAGCTGGTCCCTGCTCAGGCAGGGCCATCATTGAGCACAGAGCACTGGGTTGTGTCCAGACAGCTCTGGAATATCCCCAGTGAGGGAGACTCCACATCCTCTGGCCAGTCTGTTCAGTGCCCACAGTAAAGTCCTTGCTCATGTCCAGGTGGAACTTCCTGGGCATCCTTCCTGCCCCTTCCTCCTGTCCCATTGCTGGGCACCAGGAGCAGAGCTTGGTCCATCCTCTGACACCTCCTGCAGACACTGACAGACATCAGTAATGTCCCTTCTCAGCCATCTCTTCTTGGGGCTGAGCAGGCCCAACTCTGCCCGTGTTTGGACACGTTCCCTTGGTATCTGAATTTCTGCTGCCATGAGTGCCTAGAACTGTCTCTGGCCTGGCAGGTTTGGGCAACCCAAGGTGTAGCTCACACCTGTGACAAGGCAGACTGCATTATCTGGGTATCCTAATGAGAGCCAATGAGAGGCCAGCTTGGGGTGAGCCTGCTGGACATCTTCAAAACAGAGCTGGAAATTCTCTGTCCAGTAACACAGAGGGGCAGGAGATGCTGGAGATTCCTTTGTGCAGTGGCTCCTTTTTTGACCATTTTTTTCAGATGAGGAGTTCTGTAGGAGCATTCTAACACAGATGCCAAGACTTTCTTACCATTTTGCCTCATGGCAAGTGAATACTGCTGAGAGAGATTTCTGATGTGAATCTATACCTCCTGGGCTCCCTAGAATTCAGAATTCAGTTCCTAATCATTGCTTTGTTTCTGCATGTTGTGAATTCTATTCTGAGATCAGGTGTCCCAGTGTATTGCCTAAAGAGCTGATGGTCCTAAGTAAGTAAGATCGTCATTTGGGTTGTTTGCTTCCCTGAGAAACAAGATTTAGATTGTGTGATATTGGGTATTGCAGCATCAAGTGGGATCTTCAAGCACAAACCCAGAAAACCGTAAGAAATGTAGCTGTTTATGATGTTTTGTAGTAATGTGCTATAAAAAGAACAATTCTGTGTGGGATGATACAGGGCGCTCCTGAATGAGATAGAGAATTTTGATTTGGTAAATTGCTATTTTAACTGAACTGGTGTCCAGCATCGCCACAAAAAGCAGAAAATCATTATGGTGAAAAGGTACCCAGGCTGTATTACCACTACAAAAGAAGATAGTGAGATTCAGAGTTGGACGTTGCAACCAAGAAATGAATTTGCCTCCTGTGTTAAGGGGTGTTTAAAGTCTCTGCTGAGTCTGGGCTCACCCAGAGCACACCAGCTTTCTGTGCTGGCAAACTGCTGTATGTGTGGATAAGGCTTGTGCTCCCAAAAATTGTACTTTTGACAGTATAACATATGCCAGACCTCCCTGGAGCTAAGGAAACTGTGCCAGTAAAAATTCAGTTTTAGTGGTATAAAACTGTGTCCACACCTACCAGCTTTTGCCAGGACAATTATATCAAGTAGAGATTATACCTCATAAGACTTTTAGTAAAGCTGTGCCAGCAAAAGTATAAATACCTGAATCAAGTGTTTCCATTGTAGTTCTGGCCTTCTGCAAAAACTTTTAGTTACCCTGTAGAATATAAAGACTCTCTGAAGAATGAGTTATTACTTAAACTAGGTTTGATAATATTACCTTGATCCACACATTTATCTGTTGTCTCTTGTGCCATAGATTTCATAACATTTGGAAATACTGCTATGGGCATAGCTTTCTCTTCCCTGCACTAGCTAAAGCTGGTTTTACCAGTGGGCAAATAGCACATATTTGGATTAGTGCCACACTAAACACTGTTTACTTTGGAGATCCCTTTGAGAAAAGCTAGCTGAAGATGTGGGAATTCTGCTTTTGAAAAGGCAATTCTCAGAAACAGATATTGCTTTGGAAATGAGCAATATGAATTAGACAAGCTGATGATATAACAGTGTTAGCACAGTGTTTAGGGGGACTGTTTATTTATGCTGTTACTTTATGATTACTTTGTGTTTAATTAAGTGCTGCTAAAATCCACGGGGATCACAGTATTGAAAGGAATCTGACCACCACAAAGGGTGGAGAAGGCACATCAATGATGTAGTTTGTAGCTGAAGTGGATGCAAAGCTATTAAAAAAAAATGATTGGCTGAAATAATTATTTCCAGCAGCAGTGAAAATAAAGCCAAACCAAAACAACCTATTAGGAGACTGCTGGCAGTAATAATAGGTTTTTTAGAATACATGTTCCCAGGTCTTGCCTATGCTTGAAGATTTAAGGTAGTGAATTAGCTGAACTAGTACTAGTCTCAGTGCAGTCAGCCCTTACCTAAGCCATGGATAGCAATGACATGGACAAATGAACACCTTTGGAATGAATAACACTGAAAAAATACCAATAATCAAGTGGTTTAGGGCTCTGTGTTGCATTCCAGTCTTGCATCATCTAAATCAGTATAACCTGATTGAGTTCAGTTGAAATGCAGAAGTATGAGAAGATTTCATATCTCCAAAGCCCACAGGAGTTGATAGCAATAACATGAGCAAGATGGTGGAATTGTTTGAAGCACATAGTAATGCCAAAGGATACCCCAAAAGGAGAACACAAAGGTAAATATATATAAAAACCCTGAGAGATCAAGTGTAAATTAGTTCTGTGTTTAGATTATGTGTTAGAAGCTGACAAATACTTTGAAGATTTCCTTATTTTATTCAAGTAGTTATAATTTAGCTTGTTTCAATGATTCTTTAGCAATCCATTTTTATTCCAGCATTAGATAACCCATTTCCTTTCTGGATGAGCTGGAAGACACAGCCTCTTATTAATGTTCTGTGTATAGCAATTGTTTGTCAAGCCTGGATGCTTTAGAAGCATGAGGACCAAGGTCAGGTTTTTTCAAGGAAGAGGTGAAATCATAAATTAACTTCTGACATTAAATTCAGTGGGTCTTTTAAAATGGTGAAGTTCACGGCTTTGCTTACATTTACTTTTCATCAGCCAGGACTGAATTGAGGTAAAACAGTTTCCTTGCACGTGTGTGTCAGGCTAAATGGATTGCAGAAGATACAGATCTGTTTGCCTGTCTGCACTTGCCTTTAGACAATATTCATCAATTTTACAAAAGCTACTGACTAAACATGGAACCAGTACAAATGAAATGCTCAAGGCAAGGGCTTTCTTTTATAAATCTGATACAGAGTTGGTTTTATACTGATAGAAAGAAAATGTTGGCAGAAAATGAAAAACTTCTATTGTTTCTGTAATTTGGGGAATGAAAGATACAGACTATTTTTAAGTATTTGATAGAAAACTGCTGTGTTATGCAATGTAATTAGAAATGTTTTTATAATGCTTTGTTCATATCCCTGTATATGAAAATATTTTATCCCATAGGTCCTTTCTTCTGCTGAAAAGGTTATGTAAATAAATAAAATTAATCTCAGTACAGTAGATTTTGAAGGCCTAATACTTATGTTCTAAGCTTTACAGCAGGTTCTGATTATTTTAAGGGTAAATAAGAATGCTGTGAGTAATCAGCAACTGAAAACTGTGCAGGATGGGTAACATGCACCATAATAAATATCCCAATCTGTTGTCTTATTATCATCTGAATATGGTTTTAGGTTCACTTGTAGTGGTACAACATACACTATAAAATCATGCTGGACTACTTAATGCAGTGGGGCAGATTTAGGGATTCCATCCATGTAACAGCACAAAAATCAAAAGATAATTAAAATCCATCATGAAAGGTGACTAAAATATTGTAGTGTGTTAAGAGTTGGCATTGCTCCTTTCTCAGCCATAGCAGTGCTGTTCCATCAGCCCAGTGCCATGCAGTGGAGTTTGGGCTGTTGGATATTAAACCAGGCCAGGCTTAGGTTTCCATCTAAGCTGGGCTGAGAGCAGGGCAAGAGAGATGAGGTGAGATGCACACGAGACCCAAGGATGTGCTTTCTCAAGGCCACAACTTCATTAACTGGGCTCATATGGGAGTCATTGAGCTCAAACTTGTACAGTGCAGGTCAGGATCCCTCCCTTAATTGTTACCACCTGGTGCAAAGTTAATGTTGGCTCCCTAAATGCCTTCCTGCCCCTGACAGCCGGTCCTCAGCTTTCTGCTGGGAGCTGACCACTGTCAGCTCACACTGAGGTTACAGAGTTGGGAAGAGTGGTTCTTCCACTGTAGCAACAGGGATGAGAAACTCTCAACCCCAGCTCCATGGACTGAGTACTTACAAACATTCTCCTTCTCATTTGGGATTCAAGTTGCTGCAGCTCATCTTCTGTCCCATCCCACCAGGACAGTGATATGACACAGGGAAGGGTCAGACAAGAATTCTGTTTGCATGAGGTTCCTCATCAAAAGCAGACACCCATTGCACTCCCCATGAGAGTAGAAAGTTCAGGACTACCATAATCTGCCTTTAGAGGGTGGGAGCTGCTAGGAAGTGATGAAGGACTGTGGCTACACCACCTGTACAGGCAGAGGCAATCCTGAACAGAACCATTGCTCTCTTTCCTGTCCAAACTAACTCTTCAACATGGTTGGGCTTGCACCTTCATTTACATTCATCTGTCCTCTTCATCTTAGCCTGAGGGCATTCACTGAACAAAAGAACATAATACATACAATTACAAAAAGACTGTACATAGAAAGACTACAGAACTGGCTGAATAACATGTAAAATAAAAGCCAAGAAATAACTGATAAAATTAGCACATTAAAATGTTGATATTTAGGCATGAGCACTTCACATGTCATGGGAACTATCATTTCTCTTCTTGTTGGTTAAGAGATAGCATTCATAATCCTAAAGGATGTATTGTGCTGTGGTTTACATCCTCTAAATCTCCACTGGTT